ACACACACACACACACACACACACACACACACACACACGTCACTCAACAATACCCACCACCAAACCACTGCCTTCTGCTCATTAAAAGTTGCTACTCAATTCCCATGACAGGCAGGAAATCTTCCCTGGCCAAAAAAAAAAAATTGTATTGCTTCATCAGCCCCAAAACATAAATGAAGCAAATGTTTCTTACAAACTGAGATACAAAACTGAAACAGTAAAATATTAAAAAGTCATCAATGCCACCTTCCAATAAAACCTCCTAAAGATCAATGAAAATCCCTTAAACAGTGCCAAACACATTATGGTCACTCAACTATTAAACAACTACTAACATCAATATAACATTTTTAAAAATATTTACTGTAGGTATATAGCCCATATTATTAAAAAAAAAAAAACCGGTGTAACTCTTTTTAAAGGTTGAAAGGTGGAATAAAATCATAAAAATAAACTCTTAACTAATCAGAAAGCAGAGTGAGTATGAGATTCCATTATAACCTAATCATATACCTCCAATACTACAGTGACCAAGAGAACATTTTTAATAAAGCTTCAGTATGCAAACTTTTCTATCAGATACCCACACTCTATTCTTAGTCCCTATCCCCTCCCCCAACCCCTAATACTTTGGCCTTTCCAGATATAAACAACTTGACCACATAAAGTATATTCCAGCAAAGACAGTATTAGAGTAAGGCTGGTGGAGGTGCATTAACCTCCCAATCCCCAAAGTGTAACTGTTCCAAGTCTCCCAGGCAACAAGAAATCCCAAGGTTTTTGCCTAATTTAACAAGTGTATGCATTCACTTTCAAACATTTTTGTCTCACTCTTAGAAAACCCAGTTAAACAACAAATGCTAATGAAATTACAAATTACTGATGAAAATATCCTACTGTAGAAAAACTGAACATTTTCTAGATTCCCTGGCATTTTACTTCAATTCTCTCACTTAAATTACTATCATTACCCTCCACTCAAAAATAAACAACTCACCAGTGACCAGTTAAATGACACAGGGAAGGGTTTGGGAAACACAATAAAGCAAATGGTAATTACAAAATAAAAATTTTAATGATTACTCAGCATCAAAAATCTCTTTTGACATAACACTCTTCTTTGCAGATTATTTCCCATTTAGTGTTTACTTCTATGTAAATGAGATACTGTATTACAGTAGCATATAAGTCTGAACAGTTGAACTTTTCTATTTTCTGCTAAGTCAAATTATATCTCCATCTTCACTATCACAAGCTTGTTAGCAACAAAGGATAATACACCCTACAAACGTGAAACAAGTATTCCCAGCATTTAATACAATGAACTGAAAGATGTGCACCTGATAAGATTGTGTTAAATTAGTGTTTAAAAAAAAAAAATCAAAGGATACTGAAAAATCAACATAAGAGGACACATAAAAAAAAAATCAACTGCTTCTTATAAGCAATTTCTTACCATTTCCCATTTTACACACTTTGCTAAGTGGAACGTGCAGCCTATTGAACAAATTCTTAAGTTAAAGAATCAGGTAACACAAGCGTCAGGAAATCAATGACATAAAAAAAGAATAAATGATCAATAATTAGTAAGTCATCATTAATCCTGGGTTACTCAGTCAAACTGTGAGTTTTTGTATAGTTAAATTAATTAAGGAAAATAATTCTCCTGGGAAAATAGCAATTTCTATGATCTTTGCTTTTTCTTCTTTTTAAATTTTGGTTCACAAACTGACTATAAAGGAAAACTGACTCAAATTCAGTACCAAATGTGACTAAAGAACAACCTGTACCACTATAGGTCATTACAGAGGTCACAATTTTCTAAGTTTTCTGGATATTAAAAACCATAAGGAAAACAATGAAACAAAGAACTATGAGGCCCAAATCTCCCAACTCTAGACAACAATATGTTTTAATGAAGGTGAATACATTTCATAAAGGAGTCTCTTGAAATACTCAGAGAAGACTAAATCCTTTAGAAAGCAGAAGCAGACTGAACAGACCCAGTGGGGTAAGTCACAGAGCTAGTCAGTGCCCAAGTTCTTTCTACACGCCACTCCTGTTGTGGAACTGTAAATGAATTGAAGCCCAGAGTCCACCTATGACTTAGATGATTCAACACAACGTGAATATCACTGGCTCTATTATTGCCATAGTAGTGTCATGATGATGTGTCTTTCAAACATTCAATACAGTTTATACCTAATTAACCATTTTTAGGCATTTTACTGTCCATCGAGGCAAAAGTGGAGCAGTTCTCTTACCCTGACCATGAAGCAAGCTATGATCTATTAAAATTCTGTCCAATGGGGCAAGTCATATGTAAGAGCTAACAGAATTTATATTATGCCTTTTAAAACCTGTGATGAAATTACTTGGTTATCCAAAAGTATCACCCCTTGGGACCATTAAGCAGTCACAGCATCTAGGGACACCTGTGGGACCATTAACACCTTACCGTGTTAATAATGCTCTTTGTTTATCTCCCTGGTACATGTATTCTTTTTCTTCCCTACTACTGTCCCTCCTTCCCAATTTCATCCAATCTGCATGTGGCCCCTGTGGTTCCTTATTACTTGAGCAGCAAACATTTCGTGGAATAGGTTCTTTTAGAGGACACATCTCTACTCAGACATAATTATTTTAGCTTTTTTAAGGTGTTGAAAAAAACCCCAAAAACCCAGGTTCCTTGCTTCCCGGGATGCCCGGCACTATTTCATGACCTCCTTTCCAACCAATCAAAAATATGACTTGAAGAGCAACAGCCTCTAAAGAGTAATGGAGCTCTTCAAGGGAAAACGTAAACTATCTAATACACAGATATTTTCGAGCTCGACGACACTCGGCCAGGATGAAGAGAAGAGAGGAGCTCGCTGTCGCCCACCCAGAGCTGGGCCATCTTTCAGGGACGCCCGCTTGCCGGCTGCAGCAGCGTCACATCAAAGCCGGGAAGAAGGGCTGGAGCGGATTTGACAATCTGCGGAGGCCGGTGGCTACTGGCCGAGGTGCGGGGATTACCTTCAGGCCTTTCACTGACCGCCGCCGCCGTCCCGCACCAAAGCGGTCCCGCCGCCGCCGCTACTTGCGCTGTCCTCGCAGCCTGGTCCCGCTCGAAGACCCCGGGGTCGGGCGGACCTTGGCCACTGGCCGGTGGGAAGCCGGCGGCTACGCGCCACAAGAAGGGGGGTCACGGGCCTCGCCGGGGGCCCCGGGCCGGGGGCCGGAGAAGTCACGGGAGCGCGGTCAGGGGCAGGGGGTCTTGATCTGCCTGCAGCGCCCCGGGAGAGGAAGAGAAAGGTGGGGGGAGCGCTCGGCACAAGAGACGCAACTCCCTGCAGGGCAGGAGGGTGGGTGGGGGGCCCCGGCGCGGGGCGCAAAGGTGCGGGGAGGGGAACTTGTGCCGCGGCCGTTTCGGGGAGGAGCGGAACGGAGGAGCGCGGCACCCCTACAGTCCATGTCCAGAAAGGAGCCCAGCGGCTGCTCCCCGACCATTCCAGGGCGCCCGACACTTTTCTTTTCCCTCCGCCGCCCGCCCCCCGACCCCCCAGCAGAGGGCTGGGCCGCTAGGTGCTGCAGAAAGAGCAGGGGGTGAGGGGGGGAGGCCAGAGGCGGACGGGAGAGAGAGGGAGCGGGGGAGCGCCCGTCGCCTTTCCGCCACCAGCACCGCCACGGCGAGGGTCGGGGCCCGGGTCCGGCTCGGGCTCGGAGCGGCTGTGGGGGCTGCGCGCCGCGAGCATCCCGGGCCGGCGCGCGCGCGCGCTCTCGCGCGGCGCTCCCGTGCCCCCCCCCCCCGCCCCCGGCGGGCTCCTTCCCTCCTCCCCACGCGCCGCGGTCTCCTCTCCCCAACGTTCCGGCCGCCCGTGCGCGCCTCCCCGCGCGCCACTCCGCCCGCTGGTTGGCGCCTCCGCCCGCGCTCCCGCCTCGCGCCCGCTCCCGCCCTTTGATTTTCCCTCAGCAAAGTTGAGGGGGCGGAGGGGGGGGGCTGGCCAGCGGCTCGACCCCTCGCCGGTGGTCCCCGGTCCCCGGTGCTGCTCTCGGTGCGCGGCCCCCCGCGCCGCCGCCCCCCTCAGGCCGCCTCGGGAGCCGGCCGGGCGGGAAGGCCCAGCGGCGGCGGCCCCGCTCTTACCTGCCGGGAGTTGTTGGGTTTTTCTTTTTCTTTCTTCCTGCCTGGCTCCCCGCTCCGGGCCGGCTCGCGGCTCTCCTTCCTGCTGGGCGGGGAGGCGCGGAGCCGGGCGGGCGGCCGGGCCGGGCTGGGCTGCGCGGCGAGCGCGGCGCTGCTCTCCCCTCCCCGCCCCCCTCCCTCCACCCCGCGCTCCGGCGGTGGCGGCGGCAGCGGCGGCGGCGGCGCTCCGCTCTCCGCCTCATTCCAATATGGCACGGCCGCGCAGGGCGCATGCGCCCGCCGCCCCTCCGGCTCCCCCCACCCCACCCTCTGCGCCGGCTCCCCGATTCCAGCCGCCCTCGCCCCCAGCATTGCCGGTCCCTCGCCCCTCGCGTGGGTCTCTGCCCCGGCCTCGGCCTTCCACCCTGCCACGTGCTCTGGGGCCGGCTTTGCACCCCAGGACTAGAACTCGCCGCCTCTGCGGACCACCTCCCACCTCCCCAAGCACAGTGGCCCCGCAGTACAGGAGTAGAGGCACCCCGGGGCGTAGAATGGACACGTGGTCTTCTTTTTATTTTCAATTATTTATTTTTGACGTTTTCGCATCCCCTGCCCCTAGAAGCAGCCAACGAGCCACTCCAGGTGCCGGTGCCACTGCGCCCGCTCCCCGAAACCCACCGGCTGACCGGGACTCGCCCCTGCCCGGGCCGCCGGCTGCGCGCTGCCCCGGACGGCGCTGCACTGAGCGCCCCTAGGAAGCCCTGGCCCACCAAGGGCCGGGACACCCCGCCGCCCGAGTTTGAGAAAGTTGGGCGGAGGGGCACCGACGGATGCTTGAGGCGAAGCTGACGGGAGTGGAGGCCGGGAACTCCCCCGTGGGAGCCATCACCATTCCCCGCCCCCTCCCCTCAGCGAATGGCGAATCACACCCCAAGAAGAGACGGCGCGCCCAGCAGCCCCTCGCTCTTTACAACGGGCCCCGGGAGGCCGCGCATCGACCCCGGCCTGAGGGGAGAAAGCTCGGCTCCAGACCGTGGCAGGACGTGGGCTGCTGGGGCCGGAGCCCGACGGGCCGCAGTGCGGGCGCACGCGGGCGGCGCGCGGTTCCCTCCTTTCCCCGGAGGGGGCTCGAGCTGGCACAGCAGGTACCCGGAATCCCCGCCTTCGCTGTCCCGAGCCCGAGCCGCCGGCAGAGAAAGCCGCTGCTCCCACGAATCCCCGGAGCGCGGAGCCTGCGGGGGCCGCACCTCCCCGAGGGAGCCGAGCTGGGCGCGCTCGAAAGCTTTGGCTTGGCCGCACGTCCCCAGGCCTGCCCGGAGCCCCCCGGTCCCGCCCGGATGCCAGTCATCCCCGCAGTCACGCCCAAGACCCGAGCCCCCGCTTCTGGAAAGCAATCACTGACCAGCCCGCTTGCCCGCCAAATTGGTCTGGCCCCTACCCAGTCTTGGGCCCTAGTATGTTTACCGCGGGGAAGCTGGTCCGAACGACTCTGCTGGGTTATAGCGGGTGTCAGCGCCGGGGCGAGGGACTGGGTGGCGCGAAGAGACTGCGCTGCCGCCTCCCCTCTTTTCCTCTCCCCTCTTCTTTTCTGAGTTCCCCACACCCCCTCGGGAAAGCCCGCTGACCAAAGCCGGAGGGCGGTGGCGGGGTGCAAAAGCAGCCGGGGCTTCTCGAGGAGGGTGCAAAATCCAGTGATGGAAAGACACCCCACGCACACTTTTCACTCCGCAGGCGAAGCCTATATTGTCACATAAATGAAAATCCAGTTTTCTACAACTGAGAGAGTGGTTATACGAAAAGGATTTCGAGTTCGATTCAAAGCCCCTGGGTGTATTTAAAGCCAGTGTGAGGCACACAGCCCTGGGAGGTAAGGTCATACTTTTTTAAACTTCAACGACCTGGTCACTTGCCTCCCTTTTTTCAAATCGATGGAGCACTAAATTTACATCTGAGAGAATAAGCCCTTAGGTTCCCTTGGGTGTCTAGTGTGTTCTAAAAAAGGCTCACCACAACTTTTCTCATTCTTTCACCTGTTCTTTCCCCAGCAATAATTATTACTTAAGGGTCAAAATGATATAAGGAGAGTAACTGCTTAACTTCAGAATCACAGAGTATTAGAGCAGGAGTCAAAATCTTAAAACTGAGGCCCAGAGAGAAAAGGACTTGTCCAGATCATATCCAAGGACTTAAGAACCGGAACTGGAACCCAGGCCTTCTGACTCTTAGTCCTATGCTATTTCCACCCTACCACTTCAGTACTGGACTTTGCCAGACCTGGAACAACTATGATGACCAGCAAAACTAGTCCCAGAAGTAAACCACCAAACTAGGAAAACACTCCACATGTTCCTAAGTCTGTGCTGAGCAGTGTAGAAAGTACTAAGAAGTCTAAGTGAACTTATTAGAACTTACCTCCTGTTCCACAATTACACTTTCTTAGATACACACAAGATGCAACAGTGTCCTCCTGCTTGATGGAAACACTTTTGTCTAGGGTTGCCATTTTTCCCACCAGACAGTGGCCAAAATCCAGCCTGAAAAAAAAAAAAGGAAAAAAGGACGTTTAGGAAGGAGGAGATTCAGTAATGTCTTGGTGTTCCTGCATAACCGAGTCCAATCCCAGCTGGTCCTTGTGGCCTGGGAGATCTTACCAGATTCTAATCCATCTCCCTGCCTCCAAGAAAGACAAAAACACCTAGGAACTAAATATTGCCTTTGTACCTAATGATTTTCAAAGGAAGGAGTTCCAGCTTCGCTTTGTAATCGGTTTCTCTGTTTAAGGACCTACAAAATTCTTTTTAACTATCCTGAATTCTTCTTGCTATGGTTCAATTTTCTTTCTACTCTTTTAGCGCTTAGAAGAGATAGGAAACAACTGGGTAACTGGCCTCCCATCCTCTGGAGGAAAAGGGAAGAGCAAAAACAAAACACTAGTAACAAATATAGAGAAGCAAAACAAATTTCCACATTGACCTTGTCTAAAAATGTGCATCTAATTCTGTATATTTAGTCTATCACCTCTCTGTCAAAAGTTGGGTGGCATTCTTTATTATCATTCCTCTGGAATCATGCTTGATCATCTCTTTCAAAATTTTTCATTTTTAGAATACTGTTGCTGTAGCATATACTGTTCTAATTTGCTCACTTCAATCTGCATAAGTTCATGCAAGTTTTCCCAGATTTCTCTGAAACTGTCTTTCATCATTTCCTTCATCACAATAATATTATATTACATTCATATGCCATAATTTTTCACCATTCGCCAGTTGATGGACACCCCATTAGTTTCTACCAGTTCTTTACCACTACAAAAAGAGCTTCTACAAATATATTTGTACATAAAAATTCTTTTTCTCTTTCTTCCATCCTATTGGTGTATAGGCCTAGAATTAATGGCCTAATATCAGTGAGTCAAAGGGTATACCCAGTTTAGTACCTTTTGGGGCATGTTTCAAATTACTTTCCAGAATTGCTGGATCAAAATTCACAGCTGCACCAACAGTATATCAACATGCCTGTTTTTCTGCAGCCCATCCATTTTTTATCATTTTCCTCCTTTGCCAACTTGATGAGTGTGAGGTGGAATCTCAGAGTTGCTTTCATTTCTATTCCTCTATTAGTCATTTGGAGTATTTTTCCCCATATGGCTAAAGATAACTTGGATTTCTTGAGAACTGCCTATTTATGTATTTTAATTGTTTATCAATTAGGAAATGACTCCACAAACTCTTGAATTTCCACCCAGCTCCAGGAAATACAGAAAAAAATCAGATTTCTTTCCTTCTAAACCACTGTTTGACTTTTATCCTGCTTTCATCCAAGTAACTAATAGCTAATAATTACATAGTACTCTAAGATTTGTGAAGCATTTTACTTATATTATCTCATTTGATTCTCACTAAAACTCTGTGAGGTAGTTACTGCTATTATCCTCATTTTACAGATGAAGGCCAAAAAGGTAAATGACTTGTCTAGAGTCACTCAGCTTGTAATTGTCTGAGGCTAAATTTGAATTCATGTTTTCCTGACCCTATATCCACTCCACTACTTAGATGTCTCCAGAAGCATCCGTAGTGAAAATCACCCCAACCAATCCAGGCAGGAGTTTAGGCATCTTCCTAGATCCCTGGCTCCTGGGTTGTTGGGATTTTTTTCCCTATGTTTGTACAAGTCTTTTTGCTTTCTTCAGACCAGTGAATGAATCACCATGTTCATTAGTTCCTTATCAGTTTCCTGAGGCCTATCAGGGACTAATTTTTTCATTTTTGTTTCCCTAGCAGAAGTTCAAGTTGCATACTAGGTGATTAATAAATGTTCATTGAATTTAATCAACTTACACTCCATAGCAGTTTATTGTGAGTTGGCCACAAGAGCTACCAGTAAGAATGTCAGAGGACTGAGCAGAACCAGCTTTTCACAAATACAGAGAAGGATGATTTTGCAGTCACTGTGCAGAATACATGATGTTTGTCCTCCTACCACAGCTGCACAATAACTGCTCATTTATGCTCAAAGTACAGGCCAGTCTCCCTCCTAAAACAGAAGGGAAAGGAGCTGAAGGAATGCTCTTCCACTCTCCTATGTTATCAAGGAGAATGAAGATTGAGCTTCATGGCATAAAGAGAAGAAGCAGCATTTGAAGAGGAAGAGAAAAATCCTGACCTGCGCCAAGAAGTTTGAGGGCATGTGATTCAGCAGAGAAAGGAAAGAAAAGTGACAGAACACTTAGAGCTAAGGGAGAGGTATGCAGTGAAAACAGCTCTTTATCATCCAAGAAATGATGTGACTCCATAGGGCTTGTCAAGGGAAAAAAATCCGAGCTTAAAGCTGGAAGGACCTTAGAAGCCATTGAGTCCAACCTCTTCACACACACACAGATACACACACACACACACACACACACACACACACACAACCACCAAGGGAGGTTAAATGCCATGTTAACTCTCAGAGAAACCAGTAGGAGTGAGATTTTAACCTAAGTGGGTGGAGGACAATGCATCATCCAGTGAGAACATGGTTTCCAAATTTTATGTAGCATCACTCTTTCCTTTTTTATTAACAATGGCAACAAAAAAATCATGATCCTACATTGTCATCAAT